ATATATATATATATATATATCCTGGAAACAAAATGAAAAGACCATATAAGTTTGCTATAGATCATAAACTATGTAATGATTATGGAGATAGTTGGTTATTTACATCACTTCACTTTCCTAGCTGATAAGATCATGGTCATTATTCTGTTTGTATCCAATATATATTATATGATCTTGAACTGGACACTGAACAGAGAATATTACATAGTACCTTTCCTGGTTTGATTACTAATTCTATTTCTGTTGTAAAATGTATGATTGAGAATATTTCAACACATAAAATTATTTTTCCATTTAATCAATATGCTTCTCTCCTACAAAATTATTTATTCTTGTTGTTGTTATGTGCCGTCGAGTTGATCTCAACTCAAAGAGACCCTGTATAGGGTTTCTGAGGAACATCTGCTGGGTTTGAACTATCAGCCTTGTGGTTGGCAGTCCAGTACTGATTCTACAGCACCACACCAGAAATCCATTGAATGTTACTTGTGATCAATTAATTGGTGGGAAACACAGTACTTAACAGTTTTCTCCTCTGACAGTTATCTTCACTCTTAGAGCAACATGTAGAACATTCCTAAACAAATTCAGAAACCACAAGATAGATAATCGTGTCTATGTAGTTTCTGACTATACTTCATGATGGTACTTTCACTTTTTATGCTCTGGACCATCTTAACTGCTCTTATCAAATCACTCTGCTATAGTTACACTACTTAAACTTGTTGTTTCAGATGGTATTTTTATGCATGTGATGGAGATCATCTTCTTATTTTAACTTTTAATAGCATAATTCAGAAATTTCACTGACTGCCACTGACACCATATTTTGGCTATTGGCACCACAATTTACCACCTCCCAACCCTACCCCTCATCCCCAACATGCACCAATCTTCTCAGAAAACTATTGCTCTAGGCTGACAGCTTTCTTTGTCTTTGTTGGTCCCAGGGAGAAACTGTTACGAGTGAAATCCCAAGACTATGGGCGAGATCTGCAAGGTGTTCAGAACTTACTGAAGAAGCACAAACGCCTAGAGGGAGAGCTGGTGGCACATGAGCCTGCCATCCAGGTAGGAATCATGGAATATGTGAGCTGGAAAGACAGTGATCACTAAGTAACAGTCATTCATGTTATAGATAAATAGAATGGTGCTACAAGATATGAAGGTAGCATGTGCAGGCCACATGAATAATTATAGAGTTCACAAGTGTTCTTATCTCCTTCACATTGTATCTCCCATGAATAAAAACTTCTGTATACCAACCATGATCTGACCTGGAAGTAACTTTTGTAATACTTCTGTGATCAGATGCTGACAATTAAGATGCAGATTGGGAAATATGGGAAAGTTGAAACATGTAGCAAAAAGGTAGTTCTAGACTTGGCTTGCCAGCAGACTCAACCTATGACCCAAATAATCCATTAAACAAGTCTTGGAGTTTAGCCTAGTGCTAGTGCTGAGATAGTCACCAAAACACCTGGACAAGTTTTGCAGGAAGGATCCTCATTCGGAGTTTGCAAATGATCTGGAACATAGAGGATAGCTACTCTGATGGGGGCTGTGACTAAATAGGGAGAGATTATAGGTTGATAGAACATGAAAGAGATGTTTTCTTCAGAATGTGCTGGATATGGCAGAGAAGCTGGGAGACAAGGCTGCTGTGGGGCAAGAAGAGATTCAGGAACGATTGGCTCAGTTTGTTCAACACTGGGAGGACCTGAAAGAGTTAGCCAAGACTCGGTAAGTGAGATCCAATTTTCTTCCTGGGTTGCAGTTGTTGGGTTGGGCTTGGAAGAATTCCTAAATGCCTGCTTAGCTTTCATTTCTCTCCCCAACTACCCATCTCTATATATTTTAAGTCCTTTCTCAAATGTCAAGTCTTTCGGATAGCTTTTGCCTGCTTTCTCCCTACTTCTTCTGTGTTTAAATACACCTCTCCTCCTACATTACCTGCACTTGTGTTCCTTTTATCATTGATAACATATGCTATCATTCATGCCAGGCTGAGTCACATGCTTGTTCTACTTTGTGTATCTTTCCAGTTTTAGAATTATGTACAGCATTTAGTACTTAAGGAACGAATAAATAATTTTTATAATAGCAATGTAGCCAAGATTGAACTCTTTCTACCTATAACCATGTCTCTTGGCAATGGAAAGACAATTTTTCCTGGAAAGTAAAAGAAAATTCTCAGATTTTAGTGGTGATGGCATGATATAAGACTCCTGGTGTGGAGCTGTAGGATCAGCGCTGGATTGGGAACCATAAGCTTGGCAGTTCAAACACACCAGCTGCTCCTCAGAAAACCTATAAGGATTGTGATGAGTCGGAACCCACCTGATGTCACTTTAACAACAACTTAACGATATAAGAGAACATGTCTGTAACTCTGAAATCTGAGTACTTTCTTAATACTTCCTAGAGAGTAGACAATGCTATGAGAGTGATTTTCTTTGGGATGTCTCTTCTGCTGCACAGGAGATCAGTACTGCTGTTACACACATATCAGACTGGCCCAGTTCAATGATCCAGTTTCACTCTAACTGATTTGTGCAAATAAGCCAGTCTGTTGTGATGCAATTGTGCTACCTTGCTAAATTCCCACTGGTTATCAATTTTCCTCATCCCTATTGGGTATTGTCTCTGCTCCTAACCAATTACAGAGGGCTTCAGTTGGAAGAGTCTCTAGAATATTTACAATTCATGGAGAATGCTGAGGAGGAAGAAGCTTGGATCAGTGAAAAGGAAACTTTGGTTGCCCGAGGGGATTCTGGGGACACATTGGCTGCTACTCAGGTGAGCAGCAATCTGAATAAAAAAATTTTCTCTATAATTTGGGTCTTTTCTTAAGCAGTCCATGTTTTTACCAATGAAATCTGAGCCTTTCTCATAATGGGGTAAGAGTTGAGAAAAATATGAATAATTCTTCAAGTTTGAATATGGGAAACAAACATCTAAAGATGTATATGACATACCCAAGGCCAGGGAAGCAATCAGGTCTGAAGGCAAAACTCAAATTGTGTTTGCATTATTTGTGATTTATCTGTCAAAGTTATCATGATTAAAGATGGGCAGACCTTTCCTGTGTCTTTTCTTACCAGTGTCAGTTGCCATGAAAGCAACTCTGATTCATGGTGACACATGTGTATCAGAGTAGAACTATGCTCCATAATACTTTTTTAAATAAAGTTTTTATTGTGAATTGGGTGATAGTTTACATGGGAGAACATCAGCTTTACATTCATCCTATCTTTTGTTTCATTGCAATGATTACAATCCCCTTCATGCATCATCATTCAACAGCATTTGCTTCCATTCCCGCTGCTTTTTTCTTTTTTTGATGTACACCGAAGCACTCAGGAATATATAACCATTTAAACAACCAAAGGGCATACCCCACAAGACCCCCCCACCCCACTGCCTGGCCATCAGCCCACAGCCCCACTCCTTCCCTGAGTCCAGAGTCCCCAGCCACTCCATCTCTCCACATCATGGTCTCTGCCTCCATCTCTGGTGTCACCTTTTCTCTTGATAGGGTCCCACATTCTACTCTTCTCCCTTGATGGTCCCAGGGTCCTCTGCTCCTGGACTGGAAGATCAACCACTCCCCTCCTTTGGTTACAAAATATCTACCTTTACATCTGCAACACTCACAATCAGTCCTGATAGCAATTACTAACTATTGAACCACAAGAGTCTTATCCCCATCTCCTTTCACCAGCCCTTTCCAGACAAGTTGGAAACAACTCAGGGCAGATTCTACCTTCCCCCATACCCTCTGAAACTAGGCTCCCTCTTGAAAGCCAGGCACTTTGTGCCTTTGGAGTTCCTCCATTTTGCGTAGCCAATGTCTGAGTTGCCCATCCCTGTCAACCCTGTGTACCAAGCAGGTGGGAATGATCTTTGCTGTAAAGATTGGTTCCCTCTTTTGCACTACTACATCCATAAGTATAGGTCAAATTCATCAAATTGTAGTGATTACTCTTTTTTTCCTCTTCTTTCGTCCTCTAGTCAAGTGCTGATCATCCAGCCATTGAAGCTAGGTCAAGTGGGTACTATCAGCAAGTATGGGTGTTCTTGCGCATCTCCCCTCACTTCATATCAGCTGAACACTTCACTCTATGCTCTAGTCCTCTGTGGCCCTGTCCCTGGGTCCAGGAGTCCTCAGGTCTCGCCATACTGCTGGCCAACCAGGTCTCAATCCAGGTGGACAGGAGACTGTTGAATGTGGTCAGACTTATCTCACAACTTCATTGCTGTCCCCCCCAACACACACACTTCCCCTTATCAGTAGACCAACGTGGTCACCAGAAGACCACATGCCTGCTCATGTATTCACCTTGAGTCTTAGTCTTGGAAGGGGGTTTGCCCTGAGGAGACCCAACCGCTTGCCCTCATGGCTCCCCAACAAACAACTTGCTTGTTCTTATAGTAGTCAGTTGGACTGCCATTGTTGTTTTTTATTTTTCCTGCTGGTCTTTCAAGAAGTATATTCTTTTCTTCTAGCAGCTCCAGGCTGGTCAGCTTGTCCTTTCAAGTGGAAATTTCCCACCTCAGAAAATTCTGGATAGGGATCCAGATTCCACTTATGTTCTTATGCAATGCAAAGGCTCTGCAGGAAGCCTCCTTCCCTGGACAAGTTGTAGCCCCACTTTAGGCATTCCAATCAGTTATAGGCTGAAGATGGACTTACAAGCTTGCTATGGTGATATTTCTGACTATCCCTTTCTCTTCACCTCAGGTGGCTCCATAACATTTTGAAAGACTAACTTTTCAGAAGTAGACTGCCAGGTCATTTTTTGAAGCACTTCTAGGTGATCTTGAACCCATAGCCATGTGTGTTAACCATCTGCATTACCCAGAAACACCTAAATTATCTAAAATTTCCCTCTAATCCTAATTTATGCTGATTTGGAAAACTTCATCTATGAATGACCATTAACTACACCTTTGAGAAAATACAGTTTTAAGGGAAAGACCTTCTGAAGAGAGTCCAACATTTATAGATATCTTTAAAATATATCATTTTTTAAAGGCAAGATATGCTTCCTAATAAAAAAATGGATAAATTCTGTGTGATCTTTGGATCCTGTAAAGTTTGAGCTTCTGAGAGAGTGACTGCAAAATAATCATGGGCTAGGGACCATGAGAAATATACCTAGTAACCTGAGAACTTGGGGATTTACCAATAATTATTTTATACAGATTATGTTTGTTTCATGGCATAAAATAAGGGGGAAATAGACTGTAAATAGAAATCTTTAAATCTTTGTAACATAAAACTCAAACTACCAACTTCTTCTAGTTGGAAGCATCTTTTTGGATATGTGAAAACTGATACATGTGTTCATGCATTTTAAGACTTTATATTCAACAGATTGATTTTGTTAAAATCAAGCAAAAGTCTTTTGTTTTGGGAATTATATATTCATATACAGTGGTAAGAAATAATATAGACAAATTCCATGTGCCCTTTACTCAATCTATCCCAATGGTAACATCATACAATACTATAATGTAATATTACAACATGGATAATCAAGATACATGATATTTCTATCATCACAACCATTCCTCATGTTGCTGTTATATAGCCATACCAACCTCCCTACTGCCCCTATCCTCACCTTAACTTTTGGCTACTATTATTCAATTCTACATTTCTAGAATGTTGTCATTTAAGAATGTTATATAAGATGATATTATATAGTATATAAACTTTGGGAACTAGATTTTTTTCACTCAGCATAACTCTCTGAAGATTCATTCAGATTTTTACATGTGACACAATTTCCTTTTTTCTTTTTCTTTTTTTTTTATTGCTGAATAGTATTTTATGGAATGAATTTATCACAGTTAATTTTAATCAATTGAAAGACATCTGGACTATTTCCAGTTTAACTACCCATGGTCAGATTTCCATGTGAATCTAAATTGTGATTCATACATGTTAAATGCCAAGAAGTTCAATTATTGAGATATTTTGCATTTGGAATCTTGGTGTGGTACTGTAAGATAAGCGCTGGACTGCTAACTGCAAGGTCAGCAATTTAAACCCACCAGTCTTTCCTCAGAAACCCTACTATACAGGGTAACCATGCATTGGAGGTGACTCAATGGCACTAACAGTAACAACACTAACATTGTAAATGCATGTTTTGTTTAAAAACAAAAAACAAAAAAACTATGAAACTCTTTCCAAATTGGCTGTACAATTTTATGCTCTAAACAAAAATATGTAAGTAGTCCAATTTCTCCACATCCTTGTCAGTTTTGGTGTTGTCATTTTTATTTTAGCTGATTTTTGATGTGCAGTGATTTTTCATTATGGTTTTAATTTTCATTTTCTTAATGGACTCCTGGGAATCCTGGTGTGGTGTTGTGGGTGAATGTACTGGACTGCAAAGTCAGTTTGAACTGCAAGGTTCAAGCTCACCAGCCCTGGAATTTCTATATAGGGTTGTTAATGGTTGGAACTGACTTGACTGTACTGAACTGACAACCACAACAATGGACTCCTGGTATGGTGCTGTAGGATCAGCACTGCATTGTGAACCACAAGGTCACTGGTTCAAACCCACCAGCTGCACCTCAGAAACTCTGTACAGGGTTGCTATGAGCCAGAATTGACTGGTCAGCCTTTAACAACAATGACTAATGATGTTTGACATGTTTTTTATGTGCTTTTTTAATATATAAAATATCTATCCACATAATCCTACTGTGTCATCTTTTGTGAAGAAGTAAATGACTTTCTGCTTTATTAGGTTCTTAGAAGCATAGATTGATTAAGATCAAAGTGGAGGGTTGTTCACTTAATGTGCATGTCAGGATTTTCTTCCAAATTATCCCATCTTCTCCTTTTCTTTTAGCATGTAAAATGAAATGGTGTTTCTGATAAATTACTTATAACTTTCAGAACCACAAAAGACATATTTGAAAAATTATGTAGGTTTTTTAGCTCTCTTTCAAACTTTTCTGCCCTTAGTATACAATTATGGAGGCTATTTTGGGATGTATTTAAAGGGAGAAGGTTAGATGTTAGTTAATGGAAACCTATATTGGATGTGCAATACCTGAACTCTCTGAAGTGTTCAGGGGAAAGTTCAGAAAAAATAATTAGAAACAGAAGGTGATGATGCTGGAGAATTCATTCCATGTATTATATATACATAAAAATGTAGTTAAACGAAGCATCTCCATCTCCCAAATGAGATCATCTGTTCAATTTCCATTTACAGTTTCTGCATAAAGATGAAATATAATAGTCATAAAACATAATGTAGGTCATATTGTATTAAAAGGTACAACTACATTATTTACATTCCTAAGAATATAATTGGGAACACGGTGGCTATGTAGGATAAGCACTAGACTGCAAACCACAGGGCCAGTGGTTCTAGCCCACCAGGCACGCTGAGGAAAAAAGATGAGGCTTTCTGCTCCTGCAAAGATTTACAGCCTCGGAAACCCTTTACAGGGTCGCTATGAGTCTTACCTCTCTTTACAGTCGATTCTTACTATAAAATATTCTTAATACTTAATAATTTTTGATAGAAGTATATACATTTCAATATAGAGGTATTCTTATATATCATTTCAATTAGCACCCTTAGTGCTAACATCCAGAAAGTCATAAGGTTACATGGTAAGTTAGCCTCAGTATCCCCTGTATTCCTTTGACTCTTTTTGGTAAGATGTTCTATTTGACAAGGGGAGAGTTTGAGGGAGTACATTTAATTGAGCAAATTCAGGAGGGAAATGAGCTCTGGTGGCATGGTGGGCTAAGCTTTGGGCTGCTGAATATAAAGTCAGCGGTTCAAACTCACCAACAGCTGAGAAAGAAAGATGAGGCTATGTGCTCCTGTAAAATTTTATAGTTTTGGAAACCCTAAGGAGCAGTTCTACTCTGTCCTATAGCGTCATTATGAGTCGGTGGGCACACAAGAGAAGGGACTACTGAGGATGCAGTGGTTAATTGCTTATTTGCTAACCAAAAATCAGTTCTCCTAACCTACCAGCTGCTCTAAGAAAGAAAGATGTGTCACTCTGCTTCAATGACTAGTACAGCCCAGGAAACCGTATGGGACAATTCCACTGCATCCTGTTGGGTTTCTATGAGTCATCATTGACTCAATAACACACAATAACAGCAACATTCAGTAGAAGTGGATATTTACCTAGTCTTCCAGTTTAGATGAATCAGTCTAAATGGGCAGAATATATATGAGATAGATTCCCCAGCCTTGCATATTTTGATTCATTTTCACTGACTCATTTACACAGAGTTTGCTAAAGAAGCATGAAGCTTTGGATAATGACTTTGCCGTCCACGAGACCCGAGTGCAACATGTGTGTGCTCAGGGAGAAGACATTCTGAGTAAGGTGAGCCTATTCAAGGATTCCACATCAAACTTTTTGTTTTCATAAAAGGATTGTTCTAACTTTATTAATTTCTCTAGTTGCTTTTTCTCCCCTAGAAATTCTTTATTTCCAGTTCTTATAGGTACACCTGTCAACTTACCTTAAATCCTTTTGATATTCTTACACTGTTGTGAGGAATATGGTGTTTATAAAAATCTATCACTGATTTCACCACAGAGTACTGTCAGGATCTGAAGAAATTTCTTTGTAAACCTTTAAGGAGGAGAATCCCACTGAAACTTCATTGTCATTTTAGACTCATTCTTCTGTTTAAATGTTGGCTATACAAAGCTTCATTGATCTAAGTGCCATAGAGAGATGATTCCATATGTTTGAGAAGCCAACACCAATGAAGAGGGTAACAATTACATGACAGACATGAGAAAACTGTTCCATCACTTGAATGGAAATAATCATTTGAGACATAGATGTATAATAGAATAATTATACTAGATAGGAGACTAGTAATTATATATTTGGGGTGAGAGCTTTTTAATGATACTAAAGAAATGAAAATGTCTACTCTTGGATACTTATTAGTATATCTGCCTTTCTCCTTCTCCCCTCAACATTGGTGCTGCAGGAAGAAAGTCAGCACAAGGAGAAGATTGCTGCCAAGATAGAGGCTCTGAATGAAAAGACTCCTCTTCTGGCCAAAGCCATAGCTGCTTGGAAGTTACAATTGGAGGATGATTATGCCTTTCAGCAGTTTAACTGGAAGGCTGATGTGGTAGAGGCTTGGATAGGTATGAGATGTGGGCCCTTTAGGTCTGAAAAATGTTGATTGATCCCATTTGTAGAATGGTTTCTGGAGGCTTTCTTTTCTACCTAAGGAAAAGGGGGGCTTCCTGATCACTCACCCGGTCCTTTCTAAATGTAATTACAATCACATATTTAGAAGCACACACATGCATAAACACACATATGCACACACACACAAAGAAACATGCTGATGAAGTTGCTGTCTATCATGATTGAAGAGGATGCATTTTTGAGAAATTGGTGATTTCATGTGTAACACACAGAAAGGTAGAGTAGAGGAAAATATTCTAGGAAATAACATGTGTATCTGATTCAACTACAAATCATGGATAATCTGCAGTTTTCCTTTGTCCTATGAAATACTCCTTTCCATTGGCCTTACTTGTATTTCTCAGTTTTATCCTGCAAACACCAGGAAAATATTCCATTGGGCTCCACTGCTTCCAGATACTAGTGGAGTACCAACATTGATAATCATGAGGCTGTCTATAGTAAATATTCATTTTCTCATTACCAGGGCAGATAAAGACCAACTATATGTCTCCTCTTAACAATTATTTTTTCCTTTTAGCCGAGAAGGAAAGAAGCCTGAAGACCAATGGCAATGGTGCAGATCTTGCAGCCTTTCTCACTCTGCTGGCAAAACAGGTGAGAATGGGGCTGCCTTGTTGACAAATGTCAGTGTAGCTTAAAACCTACATGAAACAGTTCAGTGTTATGGGATTATTTAATTTCTGAGTCTTGTCATTTTATTGTCTGTAGGATCTGTAATATATCCCCCTTTTCATTATTGATATTGTTAATTTGCTAATTTCTTCTCTTACCTCTTGCCTCTCTGTTTTCTTATCTTTCCCTTCTTCCTTCATATGCATTATTCCCTTTGTTCCTTGTCAACCACTGACTTTGGTACTTATATCCAATCTTTATATAGTTATTCTCAAAGATATAACTGGTCTAATATAAGTGTATGATGCTGTGGAATTAAGCACTGGAGCACAAGGTCTGTTTGAACTACAAGGTCAGCAGTTTAAACTCACCAGCTACTCTGTGGAAATCCTATATAGGGTTTCTATGAGATGGAACCGACTAGAAGGCACTTAATAACACAATAACAAAGCAAGCAACTCTGGTAATTAAAGCTGTTAAGTGAAACTCATTGAACTTTACAGTTTTGATTTCCACATTTCTGCATAAAATTCATTTGTATATCTTGCTTTTGAGATTCATAGAATTATACTGCTATTAGTTAGAAAACAATACAATAAGTAATATATTGATATTTTTGAATCAGTATAATTTTGAATCAGTATAATATTTTGAATCAGTATAACTGAATCAGTTCTAACTCACAGTGACCCTATGCACAACAGAATGAAACATTGCCCGATCCTGCCCCATTCTCACAATTGTTACATTTGAACCCATTGCTGCTGCCACTTTGTCAATCCATCTTGTTGGGAGTCTTCCTCTTTATAATATATTATAAAATACAAGAGAGTTTTATCTTTTACATTCACTTTTTTAAGCTTTTTGTGAATTAGGTGAAGGTTTACATAGCAGATTTACATTCATAATCCATATACATTTTATTTCATCTCATTGATTGCGATCCTCTCACTGTACCATTTCCTCCCTGTGCTTCTCGTTTCCATTCCTCCTGCTTCTTTAATCCTTCTGAACTTTGTTATTGGGTAAATGCTGCCCCTTTGATCTCAAATGGTTGCTTATTCTTTAAGAGAGTTTTAGAAAGAATGTGTGTTGTAGGAAGCCTTTAGTTTTGATTAGAAAAATGTGGAATATCATTTCATGATTCAGTATTCCCTTAGCATTAAATTTATATCTAGCCTAAAATCTAAATGTAATACAGACATCCGCCTGGAACTAAACTCTAATTCCAGCCCTAAATCTTCCCTTAAACTTGTTAGCCTCATTTCCATTTTCTTGCTCATCACCCTACCTCTTGCTGGTGGAAATCATGGGTGAATGGCACCTTTAATCTGCACTATTTCCCTATTCACACTCTCCCTGTGGATCTTTCTCAGGATACTCTGGATGCCAGTCTGCAGAGCTTCCAACAAGAGAGACTGTCTGAGATCACTAACCTGAAGGACCAGTTGGTGGCAGCTGAGCACAGCCAGACCAAAGCCATTGAGGAGCGCCATGCTGCCTTGTTGAGACACTGGGAACAGTTGCTGGAAGCCTCTGCAGCCCACAGACAGAAGTTGTTAGAGAAGCAGTTGCCCCTACAGAAGGTAAAAAAAGAATATGATGAGACATAATCCAAATCAAAACCCATTGCTCTCCAGTAGATTCCAACTCATAGTTACTCTATAAGACACAGTAGAATTGCCCCATAGAGTTTCCAAAGCTGCAGTATTTTCTGAAGCAGACTGCCATATTTGTCTCTTGTGTAGCAACTGGTGGATTTGAACCACCAACCTTTTAGACAGCAGCTGAGTACTTAACCATTTAGCCACCAAGACTCCTTGAGGCATTATCATGTCTCTGTTAATTGTATATTAGTGATTGAATCCATAAGTAGAGACTAAAAACACTGGATAACCTGGATAATCTAGAGAGATTTGATTACAGTGAGAGGGATTAGACAGGCATTCTTGGTAAGCATGAAGTAGCTCATTTGTGAAAATATTTCATTTTGTCTTTGTTTGGGTTGATTGTTCATTTCTCCAGTTTGACTGAAGATGGAAGTCAATTGCATGTAGTGGAAGACATAGGTAGAAAAATGAGTAGAAAATAATTGTCTATATTAGAACTGAAATTGTTAGTTAAGAGTTAAGATAGTCTGTATGCTTTTCTGTAATTCAAGTAAAAGGTGTCTTGGATATGTACAGTATTTATAAAACTTGTGACTCATCTGGTCACATACCTCCATCATTGGTTTTAGTGCTGCCATTTTGGAGCGTTGGCCCTGTAAATATTTTATGACAATCATTATTTTTATTTTTAGTCTTCCACTAAGATGTGTTATCAAGAAAGTTGGCATTATCTTCTTTACTTTCTGCAGGCTGAGGAGTTATTCATGGAATTTGCAAACAAAGCTTCAGCTTTCAACAATTGGTGTGAGAATGCTGAGGAGGACCTGTCAGAGCCTGTGCATTGTGTCTCACTGAATGAAATTCGCCAGCTGCAGAAGGACCATGAGGTCTTCTTGGGCTCTTTGGCAGGGGCTCAAGCTGACTTCAACCATTTGCTGGAGCTAGACCAGCAGATTAAGGCATTGAATGTGCCCTCCAGCCCTTATACCTGGTTAACAGTGGAAGTACTAGAAAGGATCTGGAAGCACCTTCCAGACATTATCAAGGTAAGTTGGGGCACTGCAGAGCCTTCCTTTAGCTTAGTGAGCATGCTCATTTAGTATCCAAATTGGTGGTTTTTTGAGAAACAATGGGGCACTATTAATAATTACACTGGAACAGCAGGCATGAACCTGCATTCTCCAAGAAAAATTGGGAATTGTGTTCACAATATGCACAGCCTTATGCTCCTTTGGTAAAATGATCTCATGTATCTGTGTGTTGGGTGGTAGTTCAGAGAAGTAATCAGTAGCACCAAGAGATGGCTCCAATATTTGGTTATGAAACAATATTCAGGTGAGTATTCATAAAATGTGTGTAATTGTATATTATGTATGTGTATATTACATACTATGTATTTATAGATATAATGACTATATAAATAAAATGCATATGTGAATATACATATATACATGAGTTGTTATTGTTGTTAAATGCTGTTGAGTTGGTTGTGACCCTGTATAGCATTTCCCAGGAGTGGCTGATGAGCTTGAACAGCCAATTTTGCAGTTCAAGCCAATTTTGCAGTTGAACACATTAACCTACAGTGCCACGCCAGGACTCCATATACATAAGTGAGTTTTAATTCCTAACCCTTTGGTTAGTAGTGAAGCACTTAACACGGTGCCAGCAAGAAATGCTAAAATAGGGAA